AGCAGGTTGCACACGTTGTGTCCAGACAGGTTTTGAATATCTCTGGGGAGGAAGACTCCACAAGCTCTCTGGGTAACTATTCCAATGTTCAGCTACTGGATATCACCTTTCAGGACCTGCAGCTATGGGATTGGTTTTGAATATTCTGTGATAATAAATTGTAGAGGACTGTAAAATCAAGCTTGAGAGAAGACCTGGAATATCATTGCCTGTTGAAAGGCACTTGTAGTAGAGCATCACCAGAGGGGATTTGAGGGGAAATCATTTGTCTTTTCTTCTCTCGCCTGGAGAAAAAGATAGATTTTTGTTATATTGTCCATGCTACAAGCGAAGGATGACCAAGGGCCTGAAAGATGCTGTAAAAATCTAATGTAGTGACTTTTTGCTGTGTGATTTATCCTTCCATAGTTAGCATAAAGATGGCATAAAAGTCCAGATGAGAACTCTTTAACATGCTGCTTGGGCAGAATCACATATCCAGGTGTGATCAGCATCAGTTGGTTATCCCTGGTAACTGAGTGGCATTTTATTGATATCACACGTCTGAAATCATATTTTCACAATGAGGGCCATCTTTGTACCAAAAATACAGATAAATCTTCTTGCACCCTATCTTTCTACTTGGGAATAGCTGCATGTCCAGCTGACGTGTGAACTATAAGCTAAGTTTCTGGATTTTTATGTTACATTTTGGCTCATAGGTGTTTCAAACCCAGTTTTATCCTGAGTTAAATTGCATGCATGCCCCTACCTCTGAGGATTTGCAAATAATTTTGCGTCTAGTCCGATGATGTTAGCTGTGGTTGGTCAGGTTGCTGACAGAGGCAAAATAGAGAAATCTTGTTCGTCACTAAAGGAAATTGCTCCAATTCTGAAGAAGCACCAGGAGTGGGTCTGGTGAGTAAGCAGCAGCCCAGTATTTATCTATTTTCCCTCAGATGTGAATCTTGGCTTTAGGTAGTTCACTTGACAGTGTGGATGGGTTCTGCAATCAAATTGTATCTCTGTTTCATGACTCTGCCAGCCCCAGTGCAGAAGCAATGACCTTTCTCAAGGATGAAAGCTATTTTTAGTTAGGGAAATGAGAACATCCAACTAGCCAGAGGTTTATTTTATGTCTTCATGCATGATAACTATAGAAGGAGCTTCCTGAGGAATCTTAGTGTTTTTCTGGGATCCACAGCTTTATTGGGTTAGAATTAAGGCAACATGAGGGGGACTATATCATTTCAGCCACTTAGGATTCATTTGCAGGCATCCCAGCATCTTGTGCTGGCTTTCATCCAGCTTTGCTGCTGGCCAAACAGGGCTCCACTCTTCCCTCTCTTTGTACTCTCAGCTCCTTGTCCCGGATCCTGTTTAGCCAGTTTTTCAATCTGGTGCTCCAGCTCCCTCCCTCCCTCTCTCCCTCATAACCACTTTTTTTCCTCCACGAACTGGTTTGGGTTTTGTAGAGGTAGATGTCCAGGGCCACTTCTTTGCTTCCAAACTTTAACTTCTCTCTGTCCAGGTTTTAATCTCAGTATTGAATTATTGAACATGTTCCTTTATGAAATGATTTGCTAGACGTCTAGTAGAGTGACTGATCTTGTGCAACAAGCAGTGGAGTGTGATGCCCATGCTCTGTGGTTCTCACAGGCTAAAGGGAGGCTGGTTGCAGGGTGCGAACAGTGATGATAAACATGCTGTAAGAACCCGGTTACAATGAGATGAAGTAACTGGATTAACAGGGGAGGCTGAGAGTGTGGGAGCTCTGTGAAGGAAGTCTCAAGGTGGGGCAGCTCTGCATGCTAAAGCAAGAGTGTGCTGTGGAGGGCAGTGTGGAGATGAAAGACAGCAGGTAAATAGCTGGGATGGTTTTGATTAGTGCAGTTGAGAAGACCTGGCTGGAATTTGCAAAATGACACAGCTGCAGACAGGACATTGAAAACATGAGCCAGAAAAAATGCAGTATAAACCTGGCACTAGTTGTAACTTGTCCTGAACATGCTATGTTTGGGTGTATGCTGTTTGCTAGGTTGTTTTTGAGTTGCTGCCTGAAATCTTAAGTGTGGAAAACAAGGCTGAAGATAGCTTTTCAGCAGGAACACCGAGTTGCTTAACTTGTATTTCAGTGTGAGTTTATAACCATATCTGCACTGGTTGCTTTAATTCCCTCTGAATATACCTAATAGGCTGCCTAAGGCTTTCAGCCATCTGCCATCCACCTACCTAAGGCTTGCAGCCTTAGGGTGCTGTGTAGCTTATAGTAACGAGAGCTGGTTCATAACTCTGTAGCTCTGTTCTCCTCGGTGCATCTTCGTGCTCATGCACCTCTCCCCTGTCCTATTCCTCTCTTCAGTTAACCCAAGGAGACAGTTTTGGGTGGAAAGGATTGCTTGTATCTCCCATCTGCTCTCCCTGTGATCCTTTTGCCCTCTATTCTGGAGGAGAATACTCTGAACTTTGAAAAGCTATTATAAAATAGGAGGTGCATTTAGTAAAGCCTGGCTGTGCACCCCAAAGTTTGGGAATGGCAAGCTTTACTGAATGCATATTTGGAACCTTCCCTTTTAAAACAGCCTATCTGATGACTTTTTATTTAAGGCAGCCTCTATTAATTAGGGCACATGATTGTTATGACTAGTCAGGTTTTTTTTTTTCCACCTGTCAAGCAGTAGAAAGGAGTTTTAAATGTTAAATGTTATCACTCTCTTTTAATAAAATTGAGGCAAATATTCAGGCTTGGTTAAAAATAAAAAATTAACTATTGCCTCTTGCCTTTTTTGAACATTAGTACACCTAGGATATTGAGGATATGGTCTGACCTTAATAATTTCACTGTTTGCAATGTCTTCTCACCTGGAATAGTTGTGCTGCTTTTCTCTAAGAGCCCATGTGCATCTGCGGAAACCCAGGGTACAAAGTTGAAGGTTTGAGGAGTGTTTTATTACTGCTCGTCACTAAGGCTCTATTTTCTTTTGGCAAGAATCATTGTACACCTTCTGGATTCCTATGAGTGTTACCAATTCCTTTTTGCAAATACTTGCTCTTTCCTGAGTTAAAACAGAAATGAATTAGTAACAGCATCTAGCAAGAGAGAGGTTCCTATGTCCAATATCCTGATGTGAATCTTTGTTGCTGGCCTATGGCTGCGGCGGTCCCCAGAGCTGCATTTCTTAAGCGGTTCCTTTGAATTCACTGCAATTTTCTTCTCTTTTCTGGTGTTTACACATCAGTTGAGGTATTTTGAGCACTCTCAGATCTCAATTTTCTGACTTTTAAATCATTCCTAAACAATGACTTGTTTTTATAGCCTCGGGTTCTGCAGACCTTCAACTCGTGGTGTGAACACAACATCTGGGCTAGCAGTTGAGAGGAAAGGTTTTGTTTGTTTATTTTTTGTAGTGTGCAGAGAACCACATTTTAAAAGCATGAGGGGAAGAGTAGTTCACCCTTCTTAACCTTCCAAGTATCTTCTGTTTGATTTTTAATTAACATCATTTTTATATAGCTAATGATCTTCAATTTAAGCAATTTAGACAAGGGGCTGATATGTCCCCCTTCCCCCCAGCCCTTTACTCAGCTCTGCGCAAATTCTCTCTGTCTTGATATAATGTAGTAGTTACTACTAAAGTCTCTGCTCTCAGAGCAATAGTGGAATTCAGATTATCTGCTGAAGTCCAGAAAAGGACCAGAATTGAATTTCAGCTGTTGCTTTGACTTAAAGCCTGGCTAATCTGTCTCTGCATCCATGTTCAGTATGTGATTTCTCTCTTGTGGAACACTCCCTTGGGGACACAGTGCTGCAACGGGTGCTTGCTGTTAATGTGGGACAGCTGTGGGATCAGATCATTAGTATGTCATCCTCCCAAAGGGGAGACCAGCTGTGTAGTGCCACATGTGCCACTGATAACACAAACTAACCCTCTTTCTCCATAAATAGGTTAAAAGGCAGCATACAGCTATTTTGTGAGCTGCAAAGTCAACTTGTAATTTGCTTTTGGGGGTGGTTGGTTTTTAGTGGTAAGCTCCTCCTGAGAGCAAGAGGAGGCTACTGCTTCATGGTGTTAATTACTGCTTTGTTTGTGATGTGATGCTTTCCTGGGAGGGAGCAGCATCAGGAGGGAAGCCCAGAATAATTGCATTTGTCCCCTTGAAAGTTAACTAACAAGCTTCTATTTGCTAACCTGATACGTGCACTTTAATGCTTTAGTTAAGTATTATGAGCAAGAAAGTTAATACTTTGTGGGTGAGTATAAATATTGAAAATTGTTGTATAAGGGCAGAAAATCAAATTGTACCAGATGCAGATGGTGCCTGCTGCCCTTATTCTCCCTCAGAATTAACCAATTGGGGATTATCCATCCTTCAGGTAGTGGATAACTCTGTTTTAGCAGGTGTTCATAGCATCATACTTCTGCCAAGAACTTTCATTGGCTTGACTCAAATTTGCTGATAATATCCCTTTTGGAGATATTGGACCACACTTTCTTTGGCTTTCCTTAGCACTGCTTTTTAAACGTTAATAAATCCTTGAGGGTAGCTTTTGGCCTTTTTGAAGTTCAAAATGGAACAAAATAAAGTGTAACCCAAGTCAAAGGTGGGTTAGGTTTAAAAAAAAGGCAGTTGAAAAATTAGTATTGTAGTTGGTCTCGAAAAGCTTTTTATTCTTTCAGGTGTTCCACAGCATTTTGCAGTTATCAGGAGTTCAGATTTTTGAACCTTTGTTACAATAAAGGTTATAGCTTGTATTGGAATGCCTAATTTTGCCATGTTGTCTTAATTGTTCTTTTCACCAAACCACTGCTGTTATTGTTTTCCGTTCTACAAATGCATCTTGTTCCTTTGCCTGCATTTATCAGGAGCCCTCATCTGTTCTGCATTGGGATTTTTCAAAAGCTGATACAAAATTTTGACTTTACCTTCTAACTTTTTTTTTTTTTTGATAAATAATAATTTGTTGTTTTCTGGCATTAGCTGTGTCAGTGAGTAAAATGAATTTATCCTTTTATTTTCAGTTTAGTCAGCTGGTATCCAGTGATTTGAAAGTACTTGGAAGGAGCTCGTATACACTGTGCAGCGATGGCCAGTTACTCATCCGACAAGTCCTCCACCCAGAAACATCTAAGAAGGTATGAGATCAGACCTGTTGTAGAAGGGCAGAAGAAGGGTTGTTTTTAAGGCCTTCAAAGAAAGTAGCTGACATGAGTTTGAGGTAACACAGCCCAGCCTTGGAAGGTATAATGTTCCAAGAATACTAATGGTGCTCAGTCACATGGTGAGTAGCAGAGAAGTAGTGCAAGATTTTGCTCTTGGAAGTTGGCTACAGTCTCTAATATCCCAGAGATATGAACTTAAAGAAGAGGAAAATAAGAAGAGAAAAAGAAAGGAATAGTTCAGGTTCTTTCAATTCATAGGAAGAGAAGCAAAGGCATAATTCCAAACTTCTGGACTCTTGTGTCTGAGCTTGAGTTAAACCGCTGGCTCTGTGCAGAGGCATGGATTCCAGCTGAGACCAGAAATTGAGGGGTGTCCCTGTCCCATAAAGGGTGCACTTCGGCAGCAACTTGCCCTGGAGAAGGGCTGTGGTTCCCATCTGCGCTTGCTCAGCAGGAGGCTGGGTAGGGGTCACGCCACAGTTGATTGGCTGCTCCAGGGTGAAGCAGCAGTTTCTGCTGGGGTGCAGAGCTGGCTTCTTGCACAGGGATAAGAATCTTGTGTTTGTGCAAGTTGGTGTTTTTTTGAGTTAGCCTGTCTACAGCAACCCCACAGGAATGGGAGGTGCTGACCTGACATAAAAGACTTGGCTGATTAGTAATATGTATTTTTTTTCTCTATGTAAGGGCATTGCTCGGTGCTGAGTTCCTACAGATATTCCTTTGGTATTTGTGTAACATCATTATTTATTCCTTGAAAAGAATAAGCTAATGTCTGTGTGAAGGTCTGTTGTGAACGTTTGTTTAATAATGTTGTATAAATAAAGTTCTTATCCAGTATGGAAGAGTAATGAATGAATACGTCTTTTAAGTTGCTGGAAGATATATTGTACACCAAAACAGTATTTACTTTAAAGTTTGTTATGATCTTTGGGCACACTATTGCCTTTTAGTGTAGGCACAAAAGAGAAAATTTAATATCCTAAATACTCCTATTTTATATAACAGCAGAACTGCTGCTGAAAGTAACAAGCTTTTTCTAAGCTGCCCATAGCTGTTTTGCACAGGTTTGCCTTTCAGGAGATACTTAGTTTAGCTTTTCTAGTGTTGCAAGACTATGGGTTTGAACTGCATTACAAAGGAACTGAACTGTTTGATCATAGACAAACCGATGACATGCAACTATGTGATGCTTGAGATTGCCTTGTTTAGTGCAAAGATCTTAAACAGAATTGAGAGGAATGGTGTATACAAAACAACCTTTTTGCCTTCCTTGCAGAACTTCCTGCTGTCAGACTGCTTTTATTCTTTTTATGATCTTCGCAAAGAATTTCACACATGCTATCCTAGTTCAGCCGCCGTGAAAGACCAGACTATCAAGACTATGGCAGAATGTATCCTTTTGCTGCACTTTTTACAGCAGAATGATTTCTACTTTTTTAGGATTTATCTCTGTGATCACTATAGGTTTTATGCTCCTAAACTAACATGTGAGTTTTAAAGTCTTGCTCATAATATTGAAGGAACTTTTGACTTAAGTGTGTTCTGTTTGTAGTATTTTTTTTTTTTATTTTTTCAGACCAATTAATAAGATAGTAACCCTGTTTAGTAATTCCATTGAAGAAAGTCACTTGTGCTGATACTTGTAGCTCTCAGTGGGCCTTTTTTGGACCAGATGGGTTTCTCTTGTTTGCACATAGCAATAGTTCTCTATCTGATCCTCACTGAAATGAGTTGAAAATAAAAACGAACCCTAGGTGGGCTTCTTTGACCCCACTGAATGCAGTTAAAGTTCAGTTATGTTTGAAGTGACAGGATCTTATCCTGTGTTATTCTAATTCTCTCTTTTTGGGTAAGCTGTCAATAGCTTTTAGACTATTGACCATTAAAGTAAGTATTAACCAGTTTGAGCAGAGTAACAAATGCCTAATGGTCACGTGTCCCAGCTGAGACCAATACAGTTTCTTCACCCATTCTGGGTCAGTAGCCACAAAGCTTTACGGCTTGTTTACAAATGATTGTGCAAGTTTGTGATTTCCTATAATCACCTGTTCAGATCTAGGCCTAGGGACGGATGAAACGGAGGAGGACTTTGGCGTGTGGCAGGTGAAAACCATGGTGGCTATCATCTTCAGCATGCTGTCTGAAAGCTGCAGTAAGTGATCTATTTCTGTAGAGTGCTGCAGTCTCCCTCCGCTCCTCATACAAACTGGCAGGGGTACTGTCATTGCTACTTAAGTAATCTCTGACCCTGCTTATATTTAAACCTCTTTTCTTGTTGCAGATGACATATTTACTGAACCTGAGACTGTGAAATGCAAGTATGAAACAGGTCCTTGGTAAGTGCCATTGTCACAGCTGTTTATGACCAAAGATGAGTTGTGTCTGTAGCAAGGAAAGATTATTAATATTTCTAAACCATCACTGTGAAAATAGGTTGTTTCCTGGAAACAATAACATTGTACTCGTTAAGACAGTAAAGACAGACTGCAGCTGGTATTTTGAATGCCAGGCTTTAGTCCTTTCCTTGAAAGGCACTGCAAGTAAAATGCTCTTTCGCTAACTTCTGTTTTAAAGGGCAGTGAAGATGACTTTTCTTACCCAGTGGTGGAGAAATATTTGTGAACTTTCCCTAAGTTGATGGGGTAGTGGCTGGTACACCCTATATGGAAGAGGGGAAGTGTGTACGTGTGTGTGTGTGTACATATATATATATATATATTTCAAATGTATTTCAATAACTGGTTGAATTCTTCATCTTAAACACAAGTGATCTATACTTAGGATTGCAATGTAACCCTCTGTGTGGATTGTTAAATCTACATTCTTTTTTCCCAAACAAAATGAATCCAATACATTACTACTTTGCCATAAGACCAAGTTATTTGTTTAAAGAACAACAATGTGGTGGACAACCTAGTGCATTTTGCGCATGGTGTATATAAGGGTATTATCCCAATCATTTTCCCTTTTTCTATTGAAGTGAGTAGCAGAATTTTAGAGTCTCGACAGGAGAGAGAATCTCAATTTACATATTAAATTAATGGTAAAGTGAAATTTGTTAAGATAATGGAAAACCTGGATTAAAGGTTACTTTGGCTTCTTTTTTCCCTCGCTCTGTGCAGTAGTAAATCTGAAACAGTGGACAGTGAGACAGTAATACGTGCCAGAGGTTTGCCATGGCAATCTTCAGACCAAGATATTGCCCGTTTTTTCAAAGGACTCAACATTGCCAAGTAAGAAGATCAGAATTTTTCTCTATGAAAAAAACATACACCCTCTCTTCTGTCCCCTCCCCCATACAAAAAAAAAAAAGGAATCTATGTGCATTATTAATTATGACACATAACAGTAAAAGATTTTGCTCTGTGAATAAGCTCAAGTGGATTCTGTAGTATAATTGTTTCATCAAAATAAAACTAAGCAGTGGATAGTAATATTTTTTTGAATTGAAAACGCCTTGTTAAAGGCTGTTTTCTCAGTGCTTATAGGAAATTATTGGACTGGTTCATTAGAAGCATTAAATATTCCAACTCCCATTTTTTTGGCTTACCTTCCAGAGGCGGTGTGGCCCTTTGTCTGAATGCTCAAGGAAGAAGAAACGGGGAGGCTTTAGTTCGGTTTGTAAATTCCGAACAGAGAGACCTGGCTTTGGAAAGACATAAGCATCACATGGGTAGCAGATACATTGAGGTAAAAAAGTATATATTTCAAACAAGTCTTTGGAAAACAACTTGAATATTTTAGTGTATATTTTTAAATAAGAACACATTGTATTGCTTAAAGTATATTTCTGTTGCAAGCAGATGTGTTTTATGAAGCCTGGGCCTCTGATGCACATTGGAAATAGAGAGAACTGAATCTCTCCCTTTACTTGATCATTTATTTTTGAAAATTCCGTGCTAATTTAAGCCTTATGTCTTACCTTCATTACTCGGTAAATCCCCGTAGCTTTAATGTATTAGTTGTTTCACAGATATCTGAAAAATTTTACTTTTATTTCTAGTTGAATGTTGTGGTTTTTCATGTGTGCATTTTTGTCTTCAAGGTTTACAAAGCAACTGGGGAAGAATTTTTAAAAATTGCAGGAGGTAAGTGATACTGGGCTTCAGTGGAGTAATTCAAGTGCGTAGCAGTGTTCTAGTTTTGCTTTCTCCTAGCTACGGACACAAATGGATCATGAAGTGGCTTTTCCTCTTTTACCCTCAGAGATGATCATGTTCTAGTTTCAAGTAGTTGAATTGGAGCTGTGGGCATTCAGGTTGTGACTATGCTTCTCCCAATTTCGTTAAAATAGGAAAAACTTTAAGGGTGAGGAAGTTGATTTTTATATGATGCTTTAGAAAAGATTGCTGGGGGTGGGTAGTGTCTCAGCTTTCCTGAAGATTTGTTGGTTATTACTTCTCTCTTGTGTCATTCCTTAATACATTGTTGCTTCTGAGGCCTGCAGAAATGGCTGACCAGCTCCAACTGACCCTCTGTGTTATCTTTTTGCTAGGCACTTCCAATGAAGTGGCCCAATTCTTGTCAAAGGAGAATCAAGTTATCATCCGGATGAGAGGCCTTCCTTTCACTGCTACGCAGGAGGATGTCTTGGGGTTCCTGGGGCCAGAGTGCCCGGTCACAGGAGGGAAAGAAGGACTTCTCTTTGTCAAGTACCCAGATGGGAGGCCCACAGGAGATGCATTTGTGTTGTTTTCCTGTGAAGAATATGCACAGAATGCACTTAAAAAGCACAAAGAAATACTTGGAAAACGTTACATTGAACTCTTCAGAAGCACAGCAGCAGAAGTCCAACAGGTTGTAACTATTGACTGTGAGACTCAAAACTTAGAAGTTACATATTTCTTCCAATATTTGCATATAGATGTCTTGTAGACAGTCATGAAAGTCCTGAATATGAAAGATATTCAGTGCTAGAAAGAGCCATGTGGGCTTGTTGATTAGTATGGAAAATTAGGCACCATTGTGTGTGTGTTTGTTTCTTTTTTGTTTGTTTGTTTGTTTGTTTTTTAACATCCTTCAGATAATGAAGTAAAATAGTAATTTTCTTCCAGATCTTAAAGATTGACTAAAATTTCCAAAATATTTCTAAATGTGATAGCTGGTATCATAATAAGGCTTCTTGCAAATCTGAAGTATTGCCTTAAAATTCTTTTCCCCATTAGTGAAATCTAAATCTGAATGCATTGAAAGGGCTTTTTTATAACTGCTTTGTTGGGCAGTAAGGATTATCAGAAAGTGTCTGAAGTGGAAGAAGTGAAATATTTGTTATCTTAAGAAAATATATATATATGTATATATATATATATATATTTTCCCCCCTCCTTCACCAGTTTCTGTTATCACATTTTCATACTATTACAACACCATTTTACTTTGGCACCAGCAGCCCAAGCTTTGGGAAACATAATAGTTTTTCTGCATGACATGGGTTATTTCTAGACTGATAATGCCAAAGGGAACCATTATGAAGTTTGATCCAGCTTCTACATAAACAATGGCTGTAAAACCTAGTGCAATTACTGGTTCCACTAATGTGAATTGAGAAATCTTTTCCCATGAAGTGATGGGTCAGGGGAAAACTTGCACTTGTAGACCTGTCACATTTACCTGTAGTACTGTGGTATGGAGATTAGAACAGTCAAGAATCTGATATGTATATTATGAAGCTTAGGTAAATGGCACTGGTGAGTTTTTTGTTTTAAATTTCCCCTCAGAGAAGATAAGGTGAAGTCCTCCAAGGACGCAGCATGCTGTGTCACAGTGACCACTTTTTACTCCTGTTTTGTTATATGACACATTTATGTCATTACTTTTTCCTCTGGGACAGGTTTCTAAGGCAAATTTCTTGCTGCTTGAGCAACACCCATTTTGGGGGGGGAATTAACAGTCTGAGTAATTTTGAGAGGTAAAGCAAGCCCTCATTACTTCTTAATAGAAAGGAGTTGCAGTGTTTTCTACAATAACCAATTCTGTCTTGAAATGTTGAGCACATAAATTATTGAAAAAAGGCTTCTGTTGAGACAGCCGCTCTAGGCTGAATCATTGTTGACAGAATTAAAACTTGGTAATCTCTTTTGGGTGCCTCTTTCAGTGGAGTACATCACAATTGCAGTGCTTTAGGAAGGAATTAGTTGTTTGTTTGTTTGTTTTCCTTATTTTAGTGTCTTTTTGTTAGTGTCTTTTTTTAATTGGCTGGTTTTAATTTGCCCCAGTTTAAGTGAGAACCATAAGTGACAACACTGTCTTATCAGCAAAACTGTTTTTAACAGCTCCATTTGCGGATGTGCTAAAATGAACTATAATCTGCTCTTGTGTTCTGTGTAGTGAGACTAGAAGGTCTGTTACTGGTTTCTACAAAATGAAATTTTTCGGACTTCTGAGTCTACAACTGTAAAATGTCCAACAAACTATCCACAAATATTCTATTTAAGAAAGTTGCTTTTTTTTCCTTTTTTTTCCCCTTATATTTGAAATGGATTTATTTAAATATATGAAAAGGTATTGTGAAGATAAATTCCTGTGCTCACCCAGGTGATTTGTAAGCCTTTATCATGTTTTTCTTTGGCCACCAGGTGCTTAACCGATACATGTCAACGCCTCTTATTCCCACCCTCCCGACTCCAATCATTCCTGTCATCCCCCCGCCATACACCATCGCTACGGGGAGTGTACGTGACTGTGTGCGGCTCAGAGGTCTTCCTTACACCGCTGGCATCGATGACATCCTGGAATTTATGGGAGATGCCACAGGTGATATCAAGCCCCATGGTGTTCACATGGTCCTTAATCAACAGGTAACAGCACTTTGCAAACGAGAGCTAACTTTACATATGTTTTCTTCTACTGTCTTTTCATTCCCCTCCTCCATTTTTCGCTCCCTTTGGCATACACATTTGCTTTTCTCTTTGTCTCTGTATACAAGAGATAGGTGAGGACAAAGCTTGTGGCCTGTTCTTTTAAAGATGCCTGTGTCCAAGAGGCCACTGCAAATGCTTCCTCCTGTTTTAGTCCAGTGCTGGAAATCCTGAGGTGTCTTGGGATTCAAATGGAGTTGATCATTTAAAAAGTAGGCTTTGCATATATTTTAATGTTGTAATTATAGAGATTTGTTTTCCTTGCTATCTTTCATTAAAAATAAAGTCCACTCGCTACAGAAACGTTAAAGTATTATCTTTAAAGATTTTCGTTTTGCTTTGGTTTAAGGAGGAAGCTTTCTAATATTTTACATATAGGTTGGTAAGCTGTAAGTGGACCGATCTGATTTTGAAATTAGCCCTGCTTTGAAGAGGGGGTGGATTAGAGACCTTCAAAATTTGTTTTCATTCCAAATAATAAATATGTAAAGAAATAATTTCACTAATTATGATTCATTGGTTGAATTATTAGTCCTTCATACCTGATGGGAAATAACAATACAGACTTTCAGTAGGCACTTGATCTTGATGTCTTTTGTGTTTCTCATGTTTTGGCTCTCTTAATAACAGATGGATTTATGACTGACTCTTTTCTAGGGACGACCATCAGGTGATGCTTTTATCCAAATGAAATCTGCTGACAAAGCCTTTATGGTGGCTCAGAAATGTCACAAAAAAATGATGAAGGACCGTTATGTGGAAGTATTCCAATGTTCAGGAGAGGAGATGAACTTTGTTTTAATGGGTGGCACTTTAAATCGTAGTGGCTTATCCCCACCGCCATGTAAGTTACCATGTAAGTCTGCACTTGTTCTGCTCTCTGCTGCTAAAGGCTGATATGTGGTAGGTGCTGAAGCTTTGTGGCCTTTCACCTTTTGACTTGGGTTTTGCCATGATCAGTAATCATCCGCCTGTATCCGTACTGAGATTGGAATTGTTGCCTTGGGGCAATAATGGGACTGATTTGAGGCGTTTTTTATTGTATTTTCGGTGGTGAGTAGAGGGCAGCAAGGCCTCGCCAGTGAAATTGTTGCACTTTGCTTTCGATGGGTGTACTGTTCTTCTGAGCTCTGCAGTAGACTTGCCTGTAGTGGAACCTTCTTGGAATAAGAGGGATTTTTAAAAGAGGGGAAAAAAATCTGTACTCCAGCTGCCAACGAGTGCTCTTGCTATCTTGCCTTTGAGCATTGAGAAGGTACTCTTTGGGCTTATTTTTAAAGAAAAACACCTTACACACTGAGGTGATATGCTAATGGACCATGGAACGGTGACGTTGGATTTGTTAAGAACACAAAAAACTTCATTGTGGAAGTAGAATGGAACTTCATTGTACCATCCTAATCTTGCCACTACTAAATTGCAAAGCAGATACCAGTGTGTATTTGCAAAGTAGTAAAAAGCTGCCAAATATAGTATTTAAAAACCATTTGACGGCGCATCAAACTTCATGTCCACATGGAAACGGGTATTTGTGCGTGAAAATGCATTAGACTAGTGTTTTCCCCACCACCACCTCATTTGTAAAATCCCAAGAATACCTTTTGAAGCTGCAGGAGGCTTGTACATGAAGGCTCATGGTCAGCACTTGCAGGTGCCCGTGTGTAGCGGTCGTGATGGTACTTTTGTCCCACAGAGTACGACTTCTGTTCGGAAGAAGGATGGGTGTGTTGGTGCGCACGCCTGCTTTCTCTATGCACGTGGCTTAATGCTTTCTTCAATAACTCTGCAGTTCCCTGCTTTCTATGGACAAGGCTGCTCACCTCTAGGACTTGTGAACTCCTAGGAATTGCTCATTTCAAATGTCCCAGGAGTCACTTGTGGTGATGCAGGAGGGGGTTTCTAGGAGAGAGACTGGAGAGCAGTCTTTGCACTCAGTGTAAAGTAATCTAAGTGTTCAATAATCATGCTCATGTGGTATTAATCACATGAGTGAACAATTCCTTTCTTATAACAGAGATCTCCATTCTGATTTTAGTTGTTGCTTTCTGGTTTGTTTTATAGGTCTTTCTCCACCAGCTTATGCTGCCTTCCAAACCGCAGCCGCTGTGATCCCAGCAGAAGCAGCCCTGTACCAGCCCCAAGCCCTCTTGCCAGCGACCAGGACTCCGCAGGCTACGGCTGCTGCTCCACCAGCTGTTACCTACTACCCTGCTCAGGCTGCTCAGCTTTACATGAATTACACGGCCTATTATCCCAGGTACCCTCTGGACTTAGCTCTCTTTACTTCTCCTCTCTGTGGAGCAGGCAACTGTGTGGTCACTTGTGAATAATTCTTAAATTTGTGCTTCTGATCTTTGTAATTCAGAGAATTTGTTGATATTAGTCAGCAGAGACAGTCACTGTTTTAATCATGTCCCCAAGTTAGTTTTCCCATAGCAGGGAGATAAAACAAAGTGCGCTAACACATATGAACAAAGCAGAGGATCTCTACTTTTCTGCTTTTCACTGATAGTGTCAGCATAACTTGCCAAAGTCTGATGCTTGGATCCACAGGGGAAATTTGGCAATTCCTAGGCTTGCAACGCTTGCTAGCCTGAGTATCTGGTAGAGATGCTACTTGGCTCAGTGTCTTATGGTTAGCATGAAATTTGGGCCCTTGCCTGCCTCTCAAACTTCATTTTTTTCACTTGTATTAAGTATCTTAGAAGCTGCAGATGATCTTTCTTTCTCCTCCTCAAGTGGAAATAACAAACAGTTTTTTTCCAGAGAGAGAGGGGAGTACTAGGCTTGCAACGCTTGCTAGCCTGAGCGTCTGGTAGAAATGCTACTTCGCTCAGTGTCTTATGGTTAGCATGAGATTTGGGCCCTTGCCTGCCTCTCGAACTGCATTTTTTTCACTTTTATTAAGTATCTTAGAAGCTGCGAATGATCTGTTCTTTCTTTCTCCTCCTCAAGTGGAAATAACAAATACTTTTTTTTTTTGAGAGAGAGAGAGAGAGAGAGAGAGAGAGGGGAGTGTTAAATAGTTAGTTCTATCATTACATACTTCAAGTATTAAACCATTTATTGGTTTTCATAACTATTTTGCACCTCTTCGTCTTGCAGCCCTCCAGTATCCCCTACCACAGTGGGGTATATTGCAGCTCCCCCAGGAGCTGTAGCAGCTGCAGCCACTGCCACCCACACTCCAATCCTACCCCAGCCTGGAGCATTAGTCCGGATGCAGGGCTTGCCGTATAACACGGGAATGAAGGAGATTCTCAGTTTCTTCCAGGGATACCAGGTTAGTCTGCAGCATTTCTCCTTTATAACATATTTTGATCTTGTGAGTAGTGATCGCTACAGGCAAGCTGCATGTCCTTGTACAACACACTGTCTGGCTGCCAGTTAAGTAAAACTTGCTTTATTTCTTTTATAATAAACATGTTATGTTTTGAAAGCAGTGAATCAGGGTTCAGATGCAAGGCTTAAGTGTCCAAAACTGCTGAGAGCAGCTTTCTAGTACAAAAGACTCTTGCTGTGACCTGGCTGGATAACTTGCATTGCAAAAGGAAATGGACAAAAACACCTATGTCAGACACCCTTGCAATGCCTAATTATTTTGGTTTCACATATGAACATTTTATATTAAAACTGCATTGCATGGTAACCTAAAGGAAAACTGTTCTCCAACTCATGTTGCCCTGATAGCAAATGTGACTTCAGCTGGTATCTAATAATTCAGTCCTCCATCAATGGGCAAACACATACAAATTCATCTTGAGGAGAATATAAAAAATGTGTCATGGACAAACTATTTCTTTTTCAGCAGCCTATATTTGAATATATAAAATGAGGATCTTGTATTCTGCCTTTTATCGTAAAGGTTATGATATATATATATATATATATCCATATTTGGTCATCAGATACTGATTTTTTTTATTTTTTTTATTTTTTATTTTTTTTTATCAAATACATGGTGAGTATTTAACATCTGCAGGTAACAGTACTTGTGTGAATATCAGATATGTCCTTTGGTAGTACTCAAGTCCTGACCTAAAATTTTTTTGGGGTACCTCAAATCACTATTCAAGTGATGAATGTGAAAAGAAAATAACTTTTACGTGAGATTGTTCTTCAAAATTCTTGGTAGCAGTCATATTGCAGGTTTTTATTCTTAGAGCCTACAATGCAACTGATTTGTTTTAAGAGGTAGCAGCAGTCAACACAACTTTAGGCACAGTATATTTTTCTTTTTTGTTATTTATTATTTTTTAAAAAAGACAGTAGGGTTTATTTTCCAGAGCCAAATGTCTGCTATGCAAATGAGTGTAGACTGAGAAAAAGTTCTTGTCTTCATAATTCAGCATTTTGAATACTCAGCAGATATAGTGCTGTACCTATTGTGGCTTCTCTTAAAATGCTTAATCTATGTTAGAAAATAATTTCACATACTTTTTTTCTGGAAAAGTGGAAAAAAAAATTGAAAATCTTCTTATAAAAAGTGTGCTGAATTTTAGTCAGATTATAAACATGCTAAACTTTATGATTTTTGTTTTGTTTTCCCCTTCAATAGAATGTTTTTGGAATTCAGACTAAATTCAGTTGTGTGTGGACTTCCTTCCAGACATGCAGTAGCAGTTGTTCATCTCTTGCTTAGCCATCAAGATATCAATATATCTTACCATTTTTTTTTCAAGTGGTGGAGGTTGGTGTTGGTAGATAGAAGGCAGTTGCATTAAAGCCTTAGTGGGGAAAGCTGATTTTCTAAATTGAAGTTCAGGTTGACGTGCAAGGATGCCATGGAAAATGCAGCCTGTCCCTGTCTGTGCACGGAATGGGGCAGTAACTTTTAACTTCTATGAGTTCTGTCATCTACTAAATCTTCAGTTCAGGATCTGGACTTTGGTCTTGGAATTTGCCCTTTTTCTTGTTGCTGTATTTTTAAAGCAGCTTACATTGTATTGCGTAATTTAATGTTTCAAATTAATAGCAATTTTGCCATAAAGTGAAACTATTTGTATTCTGCTGCAAGTTCTTGTCATCATCAATTCCTGGAATTAAATTGGTCACCTCTTTGATTTCTTTAGAACATGTTGTCCAAACGAGATCGGGTTCAATATCTTATAAAGGAGCCAAGGAATTATTTTGAGTTGTTCTTGGATCCCACATGTGGTAATGCTAGTTTTAAACTCACTCATTGCTTTAGGGGAAAAAAAGAGGTGGTGAATTACTGTGCTGGGACAATACTCTGTCTCTAGAAGAATAAATAATATATTTTTTTTTTCTTTTCCATTCCCTTCTTTTTACACCGTTTTTTTCACTTTCGGCTGCTACCGAAGGACGTATTGCAAGATGCTTCTGGTGGTTTATGAAGTGAGCCCTTATTAATCACTTGTGGTTTGGGCGTGGTTTTGATCTCTGTATAACTAATTGATGTTGGTGTTCAATGGGTTTGGGAAGTGGATCTGAGAGGCAGAGATTGAAGGGTGATTTTTGGCTTTCTATGTCCTCATTTGAAAGGAACAAGTTCTAAGTTTTAGTTCTTGCTTTATTCTCTTCTGTTTTCTTCCTTCAGTCTTCATGGGCTCCATATATACTGCATGCAAGCACATATTGCTGCCTAAGTGAAAGCATCTCTCATACCAGACCTGCCTCTTAAGAGACAGACTTTGCTCATCAGCTTCAACAAGCTGGTCTCAACATCAGTACATGCTTCTAACAGTAAATAATGTAAAATTTTGCAGAGCAGCATTTTAACTTATTTTATCAGCGCTAGCTTATTGTTTAGTGTTCCAGCAGCTTAATTTCTTTTTCTAGTTCTGATTTCTTTTTCTTTACTGCAAATTCCCTCAATTTTACATATGTTTAATGCATCTTGGATTAAACAGTCTTGAAAAACCTGTGAAGAATTTTAATAGTTAATCTGTAGAGATGGGAAACTTGAAGTTTTAAGCATTGCAATTTGCTTAAAAAAAGGCTGTGGTGAAAACTTAGCAACTCTTTCGTATTTTTGCTTTTACATAAAGCAAAGGTAAAATAAATTGATATCCTTTATACCTGTTCTGGGCTTAGGTGTATTTTACCTGCAGCCAAAATAACTTTTTCAGTATATTAATCCTCTGAGTCTTCAGAGGCCCAGAATTCAAGGCGTGTTGTTTGGCTTGTTGTGTTTAAAACAGTAATGAGGAGGTGGAGGGAAATGGCTGGCTAAATTCCAAGGGCATTAGCAACCCCTCTCTCTCTTTCTATTATATCAGGACAGCAGACTTCATTGTTGCTGACTTTTTAGGGATTAGGTTTTTTTTCCTCCTCTAAAATGCAACCTGAACAAAGAAGTATTCTCTGCTTCCTTTGGGTTCCTTTTGAAATCTGATGCTCCCGAGCCCGCGCAGGTCACCGCAGCGTCTGCCTGCCAGTACGACACACAGCACCTCCTGCCCGGGGAAGGGGAACAGGAGAAGGTGCAGCAGAGGGAGAAGGCCCAATACACTGGAGTATTCAAAATGTGTAGGCAATTTAGACCCTATATGCCCACCCCCATATATCCCAGCCCCTGGGATACAGCATGCTACTTGATTTGCTTGGTTCCTAAATGGATATTCCAGCTGGAAGTGTTGCATGTGTGGACAGAGCATCCAGTGTAATGGGATTAGCAAATCGGAGATTATGGTTTCTGTCAGATCCCTGCCATGCTTGGAGTAACACACTAAGTGGCACCACCTTCCAGGTGTGCTTTTTGTGAATGACTAAGCAATGGGAGCTTGCTTTGCTGTTCAGCAAAGCACTGGGCCATTGCCGTTGCTTGCATCAGCCTTTGAAGAGTATTATTGATATATTTTAGTGGCAAAGCTTTTTAAAGATATTACTGCCTACTCTTGTGCTAAGGGTTGCAATCACCTGAGTTTTAGCTTATGCGGCTGTTTTTGGTCCTGGGTGACCAGAGTCCTCTGCTCAGAAAGGTGAGGAATTGTGTATGGTGCTTCAAGGCAGAAGCAAGCAGACGAGCAGAAATGTTTTGCTTCCTGCAACAGCAGAGCTACTCATTATCAAATTATTGTTCTTTATAGTTCAGGCCTTTTTTATCCAGACTTTTTTCTAAATCCTGAATTGCTGGCTTTCTTCCCTTGGGAGCTATTCTGCGATAAGAGCTTAGCACCTGTGGGGAGCCTGGTGACAGATTATCAGTAGTTAGGCCCGAATAGAAACTGAAGTTTTGAAGTGGCTGTTTTGCCTTTGCAGTTTTCTTTTTCTTCAAGATGGGAACTATTTTTTGCATTTTATTTCCTTCCCCGCCCCCCCCACTTCAATTGGGGCTTGTCTAAGTTTTATATGCTGATTTAATTATGTTGTTTCTGAACACTGGATTCCTTCCCTTGAATCCCCTTTGCATGAGCCATTTTAGACTGCACCATTTTTGTGTACACAGTAGGAGTTGCAAAAAAAATGAAATAAACACCAGTGTCTGCCTGGTTAGTGACCTGCTGGAGTGTGTGCCCAGACTGTGCAGGTACAAGGCCAGACCCGTGTTCCTCTTAAGGTAGCAGGTATTTCTGAAAGCAATAAACCAATACAGTGGCAGTGAGGAGCGAGAGCAGTGACCGCAGTGAAACCAGAAGCTTCTGACTACAACTGTTGGTCAGAAATGATTGTTGCTCTTGAGAAAGGAGTTGTTGATGTTGTTCTCTAATGTACACAAGTTGATGTGTAACACTTCAAATGTTATTTTAATTCCTTAAAAAGGTAGATGAGTTGTAAGGTAAACCAGGTGTGCTGTGAAGAAGCAGCAAGACCTCAGAAAACATGGTCATCTTCTCTGGCTAGAAGAGAATTGCTGGATTTAAGATTGTGTGTGTGTGTGTGTGTGTGTGTGTGTGTGTACATATGTATCTGAATATAAGTGTAAAAGTTTAGAGCTTCACAGGTTAAATTTAGAAGGCCACGGAAATATGCCACGGAGAGTTTCTTCCTAAAATCTGCAAATTCTCTTCATCTGGTTAAATGAAACTATTAGTTGACTGTTTTTATAAACCATGTCCCTAAAGGGATTTTACAACACAGAAGTCCTAATAGTTTTCCAGTAAATCCTGAAAACAGGGATCTATTCTGATGTTACTACCAGTGACAAAAGATTGGCTTTGTTGCTAGTGAATTTGCTGAGAATAACAAAACAAAATAAAAGGCAAGTCTGCCAGTACTTGGAGAAATGCCAGTACAGATGGATTTTGTTCTTCGGGATCATCTTCATCATTCCAGTATCAGTTCCCATCAGTTCCTTTCTTAAATTTTTTGTTCCATGTAAATGCATCTACTTTTTTGCCATTTTTCATCCTACAGTAGAACTAATAGTTGCCCCCAAGTTTTCATTTAGTCGCCACTTGCAAAGGGTCTGTTTTGCTTCCACCTTCTCGGTTAGGTTGTAAGCAGAGCCCCGCTGCATGTTGGCAAAGGCAGCAGAGCCCCTTTCCGAGCGGTGGGAGCGCGCTCGGGCTCGCCGCGGTCTCGCACGGTCTGTGCTGTGGTGGGTTAGCCTGGGTGCCTCGCTGCTTTTGTTTGGTTCTTGGGGCTGGAATGCGCACAGAATCTGAAATATTCCTGGTGATGCATTTCCTCAGGCAAGCTGCAATAGTTTCCATTTTGTTCACAGGGAGTAAGAACGCCCATATTTTACTATTTCTTAGCGTGGTTAGCAGTATTGCATTTTGAAATTTGTAAATTTTAAGACTTCAAGACTTCATTATTCTACAACTCATATCTTAATTTTATGAAGCCTTTCATTCATCTTTCTGGTGATTGTAAGTTGCTTCTATCAGCACTCTGAGTGTGTGTAGATTTCACCCCCCCCCCCGTAGGCCAACCACTTTGATAATACTGGATAATTGGATAATTTTCCCACTTTCATGTTTTATGTTTTCATGTTTTCTTCACGGCTTATGAATTTCAAGCATTATCTTTTCAGACATTGTCCCTCACTAGAGGCTATATGGCTTTACTTACTGTACATCTACTGATAATCTAAAGTATGTACTATCTTGAGACATTCCTTCCAAAGAGTCAACTTACATTTTGTAGATTTGTTTCAAGGGCAGGTCTGGGAACTGATAATTCTAATATTTGCACGATCTGGTTGCCCTGGCAGAGGCTATCTAGAAAACACTTCTTATATTTGTTTTCTACTTAATGGTATGGGCCTAGATATGAAGGTGGCTAGAATTCAGTAGTAAAAATTCTAGGGGCTCTTTTCTTTAATGTTTTCTGGGCTCTTCGTTCTTTGTGGAAGGTGTATAATGTGATGGTTTTGTTTTTAATTTTACTTCAGAAAGATGCAATATCCTGTACTCCCCAATATAATATCTTTTTTTCTCTCTAAACTGGCAGGAGACTCTTCTTATTGCAGGAATATCAGAGGAAGGTGACACGTTTATCTTGTGCATTTGGCCATCCTCTAAAATGTTAGTGCAGGAAAGCCGTTGTGGGGAAGACAGAAAGCTCTTTCC